CTATTATTGATCTGATATTTGCTAAATGCATCAGTTTAGGTTATGGTCAAATATTTACCCAGAATTGTGAGCTGTTTCCTATGACAGTTCAGTCGGCCTCGAGTCTGTGTTTACGTTGTTAATATAATCTATTAACTGCAGCTTAGGTACCTCGGACTGAGAGTCCAAAGGAATTTCCAGGAAATATAGACTATATGTATGTTATCATCGATCTTTCCTGTTTCGTGGACCACTTTTGCGAATACCAACTCGTCTATTGAACACCTTAGTGTTTCAGTTGACCAGACCACACACTAGAAAGTGAAGGGACGACGACGTTTCGGTCCGTCCTGGACCATTCTCAAGTCACTTGTGTGTTTCTTTAGTGCTTCAGCGATGATTAAAGATCTGTCTTCCACAAGCTGTTTTTGCAATTTAGAATTATTTGGATTTCACGGAAGTTTTTGGTATGCATAAGGATATCATGTACATGTTTAATATTTCTGTTTTTTTGTCTTGAGATTAATTTTAGTAAGATATCAGTTAGCACGTGGAACGAGGTGAGGTTTGATGTTCATTAAGGAATACCTTGTTACAGTAACTTAGAATGATTTTTGTTGCCTTGAAACAGTGCAGACGACTGTCATTAGGCCAGATAGCCTCAAATCCATTGTAGCAATTAACCTCCTACATCCATTCTAGTTAATTAGTTTTGAACATCATCTCTGTTAGCAATATCAAAACGTTTCTCAAATCAAGAAATACCACTCAGGTATTGTGCCTCTTATCTCCCAGGATAGTGAAAAGGTTTAGATACAATTATGAGCACATTTACCATGTATGTGAAACCATTAATATCAGGTGAAATAGGCTCTCGAATACTATACAGTTATCTACCGAGCAACATTGTCTCAAAGGTCCTTGACTACTCCCCTTCTCCTTGACCACTCGCAGGTGGTCAAGGAGAGGGGACGAAAAACATCATCTGATATAGCAGTCACTGCTAATACAGCAATATTGGTAGATTACCGGGTAGACGAAGTAGAAGTAGATTCAGGAGATACATCATCACCAGGATCATTGCTACCGTCCATGGCCAGGGATTAGCTAAACCTTCTTTCAGAATATTCATCATCTGGATTAACGAGATCCTAACATGAAACAAAAAATCATATTTGTTAGTGAAAAGTCCTCAGGCAAATGGGTGATTCGCTATCAGACTATTTATTCCTTCATATCCCAACAATTCAAGAATAAAATCCATTGTAAAGCGTTCAGGGATTGGTTGGTTGATGGGTCGTGGTAAGATTGGTTGGTTGATGGGTCGTGGTAAGATTGGTTGGTTGATGGGTCGTGGTAAGATTGGTTGGTTGATGGGTCGTGGTAAGATTGGTTGGTTGATGGGTCGTGGTAAGATTGGTTGGTTGAATGGTCGTGGTAAGATTGGTTGGTTGATGGGTCGTGGTAAGATTGGTTGGTTGATGGGTCGTGGTAAGATTGGTTGGTTGATGGGTCGTGGTAAGATTGGTTGGTTGATGGGTCGTGGTAAGATTGGTTGGTTGATGGGTCGTGGTAAGATTGGTTGGTTGATGGGTCGTGGTAAGATTGGTTGGTTGATGGGTGGTGGTAAGATTGGTTGGTTGATGGGTGGGGTGGTGGTAAGATTGGTTGGTTGATGGGTGGTGGTAAGATTGGTTGGTTGATGGGTCGTGGTAAGATTGGTTGGTTGATGGGTCGTGGTAAGATTGGTTGGTTGATGGGTCGTGGTAAGATTGGTTGGTTGATGGGTCGTGGTAAGATTGGTTGGTTGATGGGTCGTGGTAAGATTGGTTGGTTGATGGGTCGTGGTAAGATTGGTTGGTTGATGGGTGGTGGTAAGATTGGTTGGTTGATGGGTCGTGGTAAGATTGGTTGGTTGATGGGTCGTGGTAAGATTGGTTGGTTGATGGGTCGTGGTAAGATTGGTTGGTTGATGGGTCGTGGTAAGATTGGTTGGTTGATGGGTCGTGGTAAGATTGGTTGGTTGATGGGTCGTGGTAAGATTGGTTGGTTGATGGGTCGTGGTAAGATTGGTTGGTTGATGGGTCGTGGTAAGATTGGTTGGTTGATGGGTCGTGGTAAGATTGGTTGGTTGATGGGTCGTGGTAAGATTGGTTGGTTGATGGGTCGTGGTAAGATTGGTTGGTTGATGGGTCGTGGTAAGATTGGTTGGTTGATGGGTCGTGGTAAGATTGGTTGGTTGATGGGTCGTGGTAAGATTGGTTGGTTGATGGGTCGTGGTAAGATTGGTTGGTTGATGGGTGGTGGTAAGATTGGTTGGTTGATGGGTCGTGGTAAGATTGGTTGGTTGATGGGTCGTGGTAAGATTGGTTGGTTGATGGGTCGTGGTAAGATTGGTTGGTTGATGGGTCGTGGTAAGATTGGTTGGTTGATGGGTCGTGGTAAGATTGGTTGGTTGATGGGTCGTGGTAAGACTGGTTGGTTGATGGGTCGTGGTAAGATTGGTTGGTTGATGGGTCGTGGTAAGATTGGTTGGTTGATGGGTCGTGGTAAGATTGGTTGGTTGATGGGTCGTGGTAAGATTGGTTGGTTGATGGGTCGTGGTAAGATTGGTTGGTTGATGGGTCGTGGTAAGATTGGTTGGTTGATGGGTCGTGGTAAGATTGGTTGGTTGATGGGTCGTGGTAAGATTGGTTGGTTGATGGGTCGTGGTAAGATTGGTTGGTTGATGGGTCGTGGTAAGATTGGTTGGTTGATGGGTCGTGGTAAGATTGGTTGGATGATGGGTCGTGGTAAGATTGGTTGGTTGATGGGTCGTGGTAAGATTGGTTGGTTGATGGGTCGTGGTAAGATTGGTTGGTTGATGGGTCGTGGTAAGATTGGTTGGTTGATGGGTCGTGGTAAGATTGGTTGGTTGATGGGTCGTGGTAAGATTGGTTGGTTGATGGGTCGTGGTAAGATTGGTTGGTTGATGGGTCGTGGTAAGATTGGTTGGTTGATGGGTCGTGGTAAGATTGGTTGGTTGATGGGTCGTGGTAAGATTGACTAATATAAAAAACAATAATGAAATGTTGTTATTCATAAGTTTGTTTCTTTCTCATATTCTATCCTTCCATAATATGAGTAATATTTATCTCCTCCTCTCATTCGCCCTCGGTATTGGTATGTGCCTGTCTGTGCTTTCTGTCAGTCGACAGTCGATGCGTCTGTCAGTCAGGGAGACTCTCAGCTCGTACATCTTTCATTTCGTGAGGTTCTCAGTCAGAGTCTGTCAGTCATGGTGATATTGATTATCGAGTCTGTTTGTGCGTCTGTCTGTCCGTGCGAATATCACACCGAGAGTTAGACAGTCAGTTCAGGCGTCAGTCACCTGTCGCCAAGGCATAGTGTCTGTCAGTCTGTGGTTCTGTCATTGACGGGTTCTGTCAGTAGTCCCAGTGCCAGTAATTCAGTCTATTTTTAAGTTCGTGGTTGTCTCGTTGTTTCTCTCAGTCAGTCTGTCAGTACAGCTTTAGACATCACTGGTGTCTTAAAGCCAGTGTTGATGTATTAAAGCCAGTGTTGATGTATTAAAGCCAGTGTTGATGTATTAAAGTCAGTGTTGATGTATTAAAGCCAGTGTTGATGTATTAAAGTCAGTGTTGATGTATTAAAGCCAGTGTTGATGTATTAAAGCCAGTGTTGATGTATTAAAGTCAGTGTTGATGTATTAAAGTCAGTGTTGATGTATTAAAGCCAGTGTTGATGTATTAAAGTCAGTGTTGATGTATTAAAGCCAGTGTTGATGTATTAAAGCCAGTGTTGATGTATTAAAGCCAGTGTTGATGTATTAAAGCCAGTGTTGATGTATTAAAGTCAGTGTTGATGTATTAAAGCCAGTGTTGATGTATTAAAGCCAGTGTTGATGTATTAAAGCCAGTGTTGATGTATTAAAGCCAGTGTTGATGTATTAAAGCCAGTGATGATGTATTAAAGCCAGTGTTGATGTATTAAAGCCAGTGTTGATGTATTAAAGCCAGTGTTGATGTATTAAAGCCAGTGTTGATGTATTAAAGTCAGTGTGGTTGTCAGTGAGTGTGTCAGTACTGCTCAACAGCTGTGTTACACTGCTCGTCGTGGTTACCTCAGCCACTACACGCGTGGTTCAACCCGGCCTCTCCAATATTACATAGGATTTTGATGTTTATATTCCTCTAAGGCCAAGAACTGATGTACTAAAAATCATTGTTGTTCGCTAAATTGACGCTATGTCCCGTTTTCTATTGGTGGGTCGGTTTGGCTAGGTTCGGGTAATTTAGAACATCACTTTAATGACGTAGTGAACGCTCAAGAAGACGTCCTGAGTATTTAACGTAGTTCAAAACATACATATTTTGTAGCTGTGAACTTTAAAGGCATCCTTTAAAACATCAGTATTTAAGCTGCAATATTCGACGAGTTTGCAAGTAATACTAAGTCAGTAGATCAAAACATTGGTTTCAATAACTCGTTTAGAAGCCAGTTCTCATGTCCACACTTGCTGTCAAGGTGATGTGAGGCTGGTCAGTCGTGGCGTCGTGGGGAGAGTTCCAGGACAGTGTTGTCCCATATCTTACAGGGGGTGGAGCCCCCTGGCTGTACACTGAGGCACTCCTGGACAGTGTTGTCCCATATCTTACAGGGGGTGGAGCCCCCTGGCTGTACACTGAGGCACTCCTGGACAGTGTTGTCCCATATCTTACAGGGGGTGGAGCCCCCTGGCTGTACACTGGGGGGGAGACCCAGGACCGCTCTGCCATTATTTAAAACATCAGATTTAATTACGCGTCTCTTTTGTTTAATGCGCATAACTAACTTTGGCCACCATTGCAACATTTTAAATAAAAGAGCATTAAAAGCTTCAGAGACTGAGCAACAACAACTATAAAGTTTCAGTAAAAAAAGTTACTTCATAATAGTTTTGTTCTAAATAACATGTTGGTGTACCTGGGAATATTTATGACTCTAAATTAACACCAATATTTTTATTGTTAGATTTTTTGTTAATTTATATAATGCACTCGGCTGTCTATGAGGCTCCTGGCGAGGCTCCTGGCGAGGCTCCTGGCGAGGCTCCTGGCGAGGCTCCTGGCGAGGCTCCTGGCGAGGCTCCTGGCGAGGCTCCTGGCGAGGTTCCTGGCGAGGTTCCTGGCGAGGCTCCTGGCGAGGCTCCTGGCGAGGCTCCTGGCGAGGTTCCTGGCGAGGCTCCTGGCGAGGCTCCTGGCGAGGCTCCTGGCGAGGCTCCTGTCGAGGTTACCTGGTGTAACATGAGTGGAGGCTCCTGGCGAGGATCCTGGCGAGGCTCCTGGCGAGGCTCCTGGCGAGGCTCCTATCGAGGTTCCTGGCGAGGTTCCTGGCGAGGCTCCTGGCGAGACTCCTGGCGTGGCTCCTGGCGAGGCTCCTGGCGAGGCTCCTGGCGAGGCTCCTGGCGAGGCTCCTGGCGAGGCTCCTGGCGAGGCTCCTGGCGAGGCTCCTGGCGAGGCTCCTGGCGAGGCTCCTGGCGAGGCTCCTGGCGAGGCTCCTGGCGAGGCTCCTGGCGAGGCTCCTGGCGAGGTTACCTGGTGTAACATGAGTGGAGGCTCCTGGCGAGGCTCCTGGCGAGGCTCCTGGCGAGGCTCCTGGCGAGGCTCCTGGCGAGGCTCCTGGCGAGGTTCCTGGCGAGGTTCCTGGCGAGGCTCCTGGCGAGGCTCCTGGCGTGGCTCCTGGCGAGGCTCCTGGCGAGGCTCCTGGCGAGGCTCCTGGCGAGGCTCCTGGCGAGGCTCCTGGCGAGGCTCCTGGCGAGGCTCCTGGCGAGGCTCCTGGCGAGGCTCCTGGCGAGGCTCCTGGCGAGGCTCCTGGCGAGGCTCCTGGCGAGGCTCCTGGCGAGGCTCCTGGCGAGGTTACCTGGTGTAGCATGAGGGGAGGCTCCTGGCGAGGTTACCTGGTGCAGCATGAGGGGAGGCTCCTGGCGAGGCTCCTGGCGAGGCTCCTGGCGAGGTTACCTGTTGTAACATGAGTGGACGCTCCTGGCGAGGCTCCTGGCGAGGCTCCTGGCGAGGTTACCTGGTGTAGCATGAGACGAGGTTCCTGGCGAGGCTCCTGGCGAGGCTCCTGGCGAGGCTCCTGGCGAGGCTCCTGGCGAGGCTCCTGGCGAGGCTCCTGGCGAGGTTACCTGGTGTAACATGAGTGGAGGCTCCTGGCGAGGCTCCTGGCGAGGCTCCTGGCGAGGTTACCTGGTGTAACATGAGTGGAAGCTCCTGGCGAGGCTCCTGGCGAGGCTCCTGGCGAGGTCAGGGGACCTGGGGTGGCGAGGTGTTATACACCAGTAACTGAACAATGGTCATTATGGTGGAGGAAGAACATGGTGGGTGGGAGAGGTCACTGATTAATTACATTTTATTACCTGTCAACAATTATGTCAGGTGACTTTGTAATTTGTATTGAAACAAATGGGTACATGCCAACACACGCACACACACTCACACACACACACACACACACACGCAGCAGATAACATCAGCGGCATATGCCAGGCTGGCCAACATACGAACGGCATTCAGAAACTTGTGTAAAGAATCATTCAGAACTTTGTATACCACATATGTCAGACCAATCCTGGAGTATGCGGCACCAGCATGGAGTCCATATCTAGTCAAGCATAAGACTAAACTGGAAAAGGTTCAAAGGTTTGCCACCAGACTAGTACCCGAGCTGAGAGGTATGAGCTACGAGGAGAGACTACGGGAATTAAACCTCACTTCGCTAGAAGACAGAAGAGTTAGGGGGGACATGATCACCACATTCAAGATTCTGAAGGGAATTGATAGGGTAGATAAAGACAGTCTATTTAACACAAGGGGAACAAGCACAAGGGGACACAGGTGGAAACTGAGTGCCCAAATGAGCCACAGAGATATTAGAAAGAACTTTTTTAGTGTCAGAGTGGTTGACAAATGGAATGCATTAGGAAGTGATGTGGTGGAGGCTGACTCCTTACACAGTTTCAAGTGCAGATATGATAGAGCCCAATAGGCTCAGGAACCTGTACACCTGTTGATTGACGGTTGAGAGGCGGGACCAAAGAGCCAGAGCTCAACCCCCGCAAACACAACTAGGGGAGTAACTAGGTGAGTACACACACACACACACACACACACACACACACACACACACACACACACACACACACACACACACACACACACACACACACACACACACACACACTCACACACCAGGAAGGTGCGGCAGCGATGCAATTGAGTAAAAGAACATGGCGAAACTACAGGAACATCAGAACACCAGAGAGCAGGGAGAGATACCAGAGGGCCAGAAATGAGTACCTCAGAGTGAGGAGGGAAGCAGAGAGACAGTATGAAAATGATATAGCTAGTAAAGCCAAGACCCAACCAAAGCTGCTCCACAGCCACATCAGGAGGAAAACAGCAGTGAAGGAACAAGTGATGAAACTGAGAAAAGGGGAGAACAGTTACACAGAGAATGACAAGTAGGTGTTTAAAGAACTCAACAAGAGATTCCAGGAGGTCGTCACAATAGAACAAGGAGAAGTCCCTGCACTAAATGAGGAGGCAAACCAAGCATCCTTGGAGGAATTTGACCTCACCAGTGATGAGGTCAAAAGGTGTCTGCTGGAGCTGAAAGTGACAACGGATTTTGGGTCTGAGAGAATCTCACCATAGATACTAAAGGAAGGTGCAGAAGCACAAAGTGTGCCACTCTTTTTGGTGTATAACAGGTCACTGGAAACGGGAGACCTTCCGGAAAGCTGGAAGACATCTAATGTAGTCCCAATTTACAAAAAGGGTGACAGGCAAGAGGCACTGAACTACAGGCCAGTTTCCCTAACTTGTATACCATGCAAGGTGATGGAGAAGATTGTGAGGAAAAGGCTCGTAGAGCATCTGGAGGGAAACAGCTTTGTAACACATCACCAGCATGGGTTCAGAGATGGTAAATCGTGCCTCACAGGCCTAATAGAAATCTATGACCAAGCAACACAAATTAGGTAGGAAAGAGAAGAGTGGAAAGACAGCATTTTCTTGGACTGTCAGAAAGCCTTTGACACAGTACCTCACAAAAGGCTGTTACAAAAGTTGGAGCAGCAGGCAGGAGTAAAAGGGCAGGTGCTCCAGTGGATAAGGGAGTACTTAAGCAACAGGAAACAACGAGTAACGATGAGGGGGGAGACATCAGTGTGGCGAGATGTCACCAGCGGAGTCCCACAGGGCTCAGTACTTGGACCCATCCTGTTTCTAATATATGTAAACGATCTTCCGGAGGGTATAGATTCGTTCCTCTCAATGTTTGCTGATGATGCAAAAATTAAGAGAAGAATCAAGACGGATGAAGATAGACAGAGACTAGTTGGTCTTTAAACTGCTGAGGGTTTGCCTCCGGTGACTTATATACAAGGACAACAACTACATTTAGGATCTCTATTTTGACTATCAGCACTTCCACCATATCATTTGAGGTGTTTAGCAGCTCAGTACAGATGAGTGTGTCTTTGATGTAGAGGCTGACCCCACCCTGAAGCCGGTGTTTCCTATCACATCTGAAGAGATTGTATTCTGGGATCCATATTTCACCATCAAGGTAGTCCTTTGTGTGAGTTTCCGTTAGGGCTGCAAACACTGCATTTGCCTCATGAAGGAGACCATCTATAAAAGGAACTTTGTTGGATTTGCGTGTTTTTATATCCTGGATGTTGGCAAATATAAATGATGTTATCGTGTTAGTGGAAGTGCTGGATGCTTTAATTGGTGTTAATATCTGAGGCTCTGGTAAGGAGGCCACTGTGTTTGCGTCCTCTCTAGCATTTGACCGAGTTGGTGGTAGAGTCTGGTCATTATTAGCCATTCTTCTCCTCCTCCTCTTGCTAAAAAATTATCCCGGTTGATGGAGTAGTGGCTGTTTTCATAGTGGTAGTCTGTCGGTTTTATTCGCCTGGTACCTCTTATATGAAAAGCTGGGCATTCAGCATTGAAGCACTCTTTCCTGTCCAAAGAGTTCTTGCAAATTTCTGGGTGAAAGAATTCACAGCTTTTGGTACATTTACCTGTATTGAGGAGGTTTCTGCACCCCTCCACTAACACCAGTACACCTCCACTAACACCAGTATCCCTCCACTAACACCAGTACACCTCCACTAACACCAGTACCCCTCCACTAACACCAGTACACCTCCACTAACACCAGTACCCCTCCACTAACACCAGTACACCTCCACTAACACCAGTACCCCTACACTAACACCAGTACACCTCCACTAACACCAGTACACCTCCACTAACACCAGTACCCCTACACTAACACCAGTACACCTCCACTAACACCAGTACCCCTCCACTAACACCAGTACCCCTCCACTAACACCAGTACACCCTGAGAACACCAGTACACCTCCACTAACACCAGTACACCTCCACTAACACCAGTACCCCTCCACTAACACCAGTACCCCTCCACTAACACCAGTACACCTCCACTAACACCAGTACCCCTCCACTAACACCAGTACACCTCCACTAACACCAGTACCCCTACACTAACACCAGTACACCTCCACTAACACCAGTACACCTCCACTAACACCAGTGCCCCTCCACTAACACCAGTACCCCTACACTAACACCAGTACCTCTCCACTAACACCAGTACACCTCCACTAACACCAGTACACCTCCACTAACACCAGTGCCCCTCCACTAACACCAGTACACCTCCACTAACATCAGTGCCCCTACACTAACACCAGGGCCCCTCCACTAACACCAGTACACCTCCACTAACACCAGTACACCCCGAGAACACCAGTACACCTCCACTAACACCAGTACACCTCCACTAACACCAGTACCCCTCCACTAACACCAGTACCCCTCCACTAACACCAGTACACCTCCACTAACACCAGTACCCCTCCACTAACACCAGTACACCTCCACTAACACCAGTACCCCTCCACTAACACCAGTACACCTCCACTAACACCAGTACCCCTACACTAACACCAGTACACCTCCACTAACACCAGTATACCTCCACTAACACCAGTACCCCTCCACTAACACCAGGGCCCCTCCACTAACACCAGTACCCCTCCACTAACACCAGTACACCTCCACTAACACCAGTACCCCTCCACTAACACCAGTACACCCCCACTAACACCAGTACACCCCGAGAACACCAGTACCCCTCCACTAACACCAGTACCCCTCCACTAACACCAGTACACCTCCACTAACACCAGTACCCCTCCACTAACACCAGTACACCTCCACTAACACCAGTACCCCTCCACTAACACCAGTGCCCCTCCACTAACACCAGTACACCCCCACTAACACCAGTACACCCCGAGAACACCAGTACCCCTTCACTAACACCAGTACACCTCCACTAACACCAGTACACCTCCACTAACACCTGTGCCCCTCCACTAACACCAGTACACCCCGAGAACACCAGTACCCCTCCACTAACACCAGTACACCTCCACTAACACCAGTACACCTCCACTAACACCAGTACACCTCCACTAACACCAGTACACCTCCACTAACACCAGTACACCTCCACTAACCACTAACCACTAACCACTAACCACTCCTGTAGGGAGCAGGAGGCCAGATACAAGGTATCATCTGGGAGAGGAAATTCTTCAGGAGTCAGAGAAGGAAAAAGACTTGGGGTTGATATCACGCCAGACCTGTCTCCTGCAGCACATATCAAGCGGATAACATCAGCGGCATATGCCAGGCTGGCCAACATACGAACGGCATTCAGAAACTTGTGTAAAGAATCATTCAGAACTTTGTATACCACATATGTCAGGCCAATCCTGGAGTATGCAGCCCCAGCATGG